TCCAGTAATTGTAATGATTTATCTCTTGTTTCCTGATTTGTTCCTAAAAATTTCCAATCTTCAACTTCTTTAACCCATCTATCACTAGTTCTTTCCTTTATATCCTCGCTTATAACTTTTTTTTTTCGGTTCCTTCCCGATGCCCTGCAACTTTCGTCCCTGAAGAAATCCTTGTTTCCTGCCCTTTCTACATTCCCACATTTTAACCCAGCCCATTGTTCTTTTATCTCTCCCTTTATCCGTCTATCTTCCCAGTATTTTTCAATCCCGGGTTCTTTTTTTATCTTCCTACAGTAATCATAATTTTTCAATTTTTATACAACTCTTTCAAGTTTCTGGTCTTTTTCAATTTGTATTCCCTTTTCTAGCCTCTCTGCAAACTTACTTGCTCCCTCATTATCAAATAGGCCTTTCATCCCCATTCTTTAAAAATTATCCTCGATTATCACTTACGATAGAAAAATTTGAACAAACGAATATAAAGCAAGAGTATGATTTACTTGACGTAACAAAACATATAAATTCAAATAAAATCATCGTGTTACAAAACATTAATAACACTACTTAAAATTTTTTAACGAACGATACAAACATACTAAGGTTCCATGCGGGAATTGAAGCAATATGAAATTTCTTACGAATCGTTAAGGTAAAGCATAATTTAGGTTATTTTAAACAGCAAGTGTGATTGTTAGAACATCATTATTGATAATCAGGATCTAAATTAAAACTGAAAGAGTTGATTGCACGTATGTCAATAGCTAAAATTCTTTAAGGGATAAATGAATAAGGAAGAGATGTTTATTTTTGATACAATTTTTTTTATTGCTGTAAAGTTAGTATTATACTCACATAATAAATAACATCTGTTACAAATGATGCATTCCTCTTAAATTATAAAGTAAAATCATTGTTCAACTATTAACAATTTTATACACGAGATGTGTGTACATTAAAATCAATGAAAAGAATCGTAATTAAAAATTTTTTCATAAGAACGCATTGATTGCATAAAACACGATTTTCTATCACTGCAATGGAATGATGCGTCATCAACATCAACGCAAAATCGTAGCACTTCAAATCGTGATTTGTCGATCAGTCTTGCAAGTGGGCAAGTTTCATGTTTTTTTCAACATCATTATTTATTTTGGAAAAATGCATTTTAAGTTCGCATATTTAGCTTACACGTTAGTTTCGCACATTTCATTAGTTTTTTCCTGCACTCCAAACTATAAAAAATATTTTAAAGTAATCAATTGTATATCGACTAAAGTCTCATCTATGTACAAGAATTTCAAAAGAATCGTTATCGATTAAAAAAAAAAAGTTATTTATTAAATATTTCAGACTAAAAGGAAAAAGCAAGTATTTCCCAATCATCATAAATCCAAAGAAAGTTTGTAACATAAAATTGATCTCGACTAAGAAGGAAATACATTAACAGCCTATACCAAACAGCTGTGCTAACCGAAACAAACAAAGGAAAAATGCAATCATCATACTGATAATAATCGCTTTGTTTGATTTTCCACTCGTTCACCAGTATAATAATATAACGTCTGCATCACAGTACTCTTCACTGTAACACATATCGTCCGCTCAGTTCAAAATCGATATCAAAGTGAATACCTACACACGAATACAGACACTCGATTCGCGTTTACAAATCGTAGTTTGTATACTTTTTTTTTCCTCGTCACTTCCGTATGAAAACGCAATGCGTGAGGGAAATAGGGGTAAGTGTACCTATCTCCGTGGCACGTACTGAAAATTCCAACTTAAATGCACCATAAAAAATGGTATACTAAAATTTTTTGGAATATTTTTTTTTTTAATCTTATATAATCTCTCACGGAATATTTAAAAAAATTTTATGAAGCTAAAACTGCAGTAGAATATTTTTAAAACGAATAAAAACGGTATGCTGGTATTACCGTGGTTGTGTACCTATTACCGTGTACGTATTACCGCGGATGTATAGGGTTATGTTTACGTACGCTCACCGCGGAAATACGTACACAATCAGTTAATGAGCGCGTTGTACCAAATACCGTGGAAAATAATTATTTACTCAAAATATACACAAATATTTCTGTTTGAATTGCATCTACATTAACGTCATTTTAGATGATTATAATTAAAAAATTATTTTATATGAAACATTTCTTATTTTGAGCAAGTAATCATCAGTTTTTCAAAATCCACGGTAATAGGGCAGAGCACGGAGATAGGTACACTTACCCCTATGGGCAGAGAATGAGCGATGTTCACAATGCGACTCTTTGGTCGAGCGCCAAAACGGCTTCGCGTTTTTTTTTCTTCGTCATTTCTCTCTCCCTCATTTTCCTTCTGGCAAAGTCGTGTCAGTCGCGGACCTTTGTACAAAAACTATAACTAGTATAATGTATTTTTCATATATTTATAATATTTTGTTTGTGTTACCATGTAGAAAACAATGACTTAGAGTTTAAGAGCTTTTTTGTGAGAAATGCTGTTTCTACATAAATTCCATACAAAGTTGTGTTTGTATAATTTTAAAGAAAAAAAAGTTATGAGACACCAAACAAAAATGACCGATTTTCCACACATATTATCATAACAGTTCATTTACCCGCCTTTGGATGAAAAGAGATGTTTTTCATTCTTTTCACCCGCACAATGATCTTAGGCAACGTGTTTTTCGACAGTACATATTACGTCAACTAAGATACCATCCACTTTCTCTCATTACATGAACCATGTATTAATATCCAATGATATTTTCATTTTATTTTATTGGTATACACGAGGTCAATATTTTTTTTATCATGGATCTCGACGTCACGAAAGTCGACTTCGCAAAAAGTGTCGTACACATCATGTAAAAGTATCGAAACAAACACTTACTGTACATTTTACGTATGCTTTCATTTTTAGCACACTCAGTTTTTTTTCTGACGAATCGTTCTTTCGCACTTTCCGATTGAAAAAGGTACTTACTTCGTTTACATTTAACGTTCGAAAAAATGCATAAAACAGCGAAATCTCTCAAAATCACTGTTCACTCATGGCATACTTTACTTTTTTAATATAATATAATATATACTATTTATAACTATACACCTACAATAGTTAACAAGACAAGTCAGCTGTCCGATATTAGCGTCGAACGCGAATCCATCGTTTCAGTTATCAAACCGATGAAACTTACATAATTAAGTTAATCTTAAGTAGTGTGTGTGTTTTTTTTCTTTTTATTATTTTCACTAACTTTTTGCGCTTATATATAAATATATATATATATATGTATTCGCCTCTCATGGTCGCACGTAATTATAATAACTGTTTGTTTATTTTGTGTGTCGAGGCGCGTTCTACCCTCGTTTTTCGACAATTACACTGAGGCACACAGGACGTCGAGAAATGGCTTCATCGACTTGTTTTCATTTCTTACATTTACCTTTCTTTCGTGTCGTCATCCAACGTACGGCTGCTAGTTTGATTTTATGACGCGAGTTTTCAACGGTTTCCGGACATTTTTCAAGTAAAATTCTCAGTCGTGTGGGTTCGTAAACCTTGCGTAAGTCACGTTTTGAGTGAAACAAGAAATATTCGACAGAAACGGTTACCGGTACATTAATATTTATGAATCACTACGATACTTTCATTAAATCCAAGTTGACGTTACAACAATTAAATTACAATGATGTATAATATACAATGTATAAAAGTGACGATCGGTTTAATATTATAAAAAAATGAAAACTTTATTTGATTCACTTCTACGATTTGCAGTTCATTATTCCTATGCACTGTTTTTGATACATCGATTAAGTTTACTAAATTGTATGAAGTAGAAAAGTTTAATTGTCATTTGCATTAGATACTGCGCTCCCGTCTTCTTCACAGCCGTGCTACAATTAATGGTTCCGTTCTACCTAAGCCGCACTCAGCTAAAGTTACTCTGTCTCGTTTTTATAAAGTCGAATAACGTGAATTTCATACAATTCAAACGATTTGGACAACAGAGGAGTGTAGTACAGCTTAGACAAAACACGTTTTAGTATAGAGTATTGTGGAAACAACGTAGTATAAAGGTATAAAAGTATGGATCGATAAAATATCGCATCGAGTCATCCGTAAAAAGTCGTGTCCTTGATCGAGTTCGAATCAATCACTGCGAAAGTTTTCTACTGTGAAAAAATGAAGCAACATTTTGTAAAGTCCAAAGAGTCTTTTTAACAAAAACTACCATTGGCTTTGGTAGGACGGAAGCGAAAGATCTAAAATACATCGTGGAATGTATCAGTTTTAAATTGATATAAAGAGTCCATAGTACGAATTATTGTGAAGATTAAAAGTGCCGAGGTGTAGCTTAATTTTTTTCTTTTTTTTCTTTTTTTTCTTTTTTTTCTTTTTTTACAAAAACAGTATCCGAAAAGCAGCACCGCAATAAGACATTGTGCATCAGAGTATTCATTGTCAAATGTATAGTGCGGACTACCGAAGGCTTGACGAATAAATAGTGCAATTTTTCAAAAAAGGAGCGGAAGATGTGAAAAGTCTTTCTTTTTTTTCAACTGGAAAAAACTTTTTTCCCAAAAAGTTTAAGAGCTCGGCTTTTGGAGATCAATCATGGGGATCGTCTTGAAACGAGTTGTTTATTCAAAAATAGCAGTTCAATACTATTATCAAACGATTAAAAATTATCAAAATCCATATTTCATCGAGCCCTACGGAAAAAATAAAAAAAAAAATTCACGTCCAAGACCTTAGTCTGCATCCAACATCCCTTTATTGGTCAACAAAAAAGTTCAATCAAGACGCCGATCCCCCGGTTATAACTTTCCCTCCTCCGAATCAATCCTTTTTTTTTTTTCACCAAATGCCCAATCATTTACATCCAAGCCGTGGTCCACTAAAATCAGTCAGTCTGTCGTATTGTTATACTTGGGGTAAAAAAAAAAAAAAAAAAAAAATGAGAAGAAAAACAAANTTTTTTTTCACCAAATGCCCAATCATTTACATCCAAGCCGTGGTCCACTAAAATCAGTCAGTCTGTCGTATTGTTATACTTGGGGTAAAAAAAAAAAAAAAAAAAACGCATCGTAGACAATGTGTTCCGGGTCACCCTTGCATCTCAGCAGCATCACCGCAGCAGTTACGGGAGATATTTGAGGCGGCATCTCGGTCCTGTGTCCCTTCTTCATATGGCAACAACGGCAACAAATGGCAACAGTATATCGTCTCCACGATAGACGTGGTCGTCTTTTTCGTTAACCACGGGGGTTATTATGTGTTGAGACCTTGGCGCTTTTCCTCCTCGAGCATGGCGTCGAGCTCATTCGTGAGGTTCGTCAGCATGTTGCCGATGTCGCTCAGCACGTCTGTTGGCTCGCCGCTGGACGAAATGTTGGCTACGCTCGCCGAAGACGAGGACGTGTTGTGGTGATTGTGATGCTGTTGTTGGGCGGCCGCCATGTGGCTCGGGCTGTTGGCGTACTCTTGGACAGCGCGAGCGGCTCGCTGTTTTATCGTACCCGCGTTCTCGTTGGCGAACGGCAGTGAGTCCGACTCTGTGCTCGAGTTCGACTGAAACGTCATTCACAGTTAATGTATTAGGCTTCAGGTGATTGCTACGTGAATTTGATCGATGGGGGAGAGGGGGAGCCAGAGACAAATAAAAGAAAGTTAAAACAATATATTTGTAGTTTATAGTAATGCCGACAATGGATTTTTCGAGTGACCCATTCCGCTCACGAGTGTGGACGTGGACTATTTGCTCCGTGCAAGCCATCGGAGGAGAGACTTTGGATGTCTAGTTCAAGACTTTTAACGAGTTGTCTTATGCGGAAAAAAGGGGGATAAAGACTCACCGCTGGTGACCGCTTGAACTGTTTTGTTTTCATGAGATTTAACGTTGGAAAGGATAATTCAATGAGTATATACATATTATACACCTCGCATGTTTGAAGTGAATATGTAATCAGACATTAAGTGGAGGCTTCAGCGGAACGTCAGTGTTTGCCTAAAGATCTTTGTAAAAGTTTCAAGGAGTACTTATGTGTTGTTGTTGTTGAAGAAACTCCGAGGACAATCCAAAGTATTAATTAACTTCATCTTACTTCGTAGACGTAATTGTAACTTAAATATTATCAAAACGGAATTCGCTTAAAAAGGAGCAACTTTATTCTTTACTTTGAAAAATTCGTCGTTTATTCGGCATAAAGTAAACTTTATCAGGATATTGAATAATTGCGTTCCTAATTATACTGATTTATCATAAATTACTATGCACGATGGATCTACAACAAAATCAAATACATGGATACTGACTATATGAGAGATGCACCGCGCGTACTTGACACTAAAACGCCAAGAAATTAAAAAAAAAAAAAAAAAAAAAAAAAAAAAAAAAAAAAAGTTTATTCATTACGTGTATCTTATAAATAATAAAAATGGAAAAAGGCATCTCAAAATAAAAATATGACGAAACTATAAACATAATTTTCAAGTGATCAAGGAGATGGAGCCCATGGATGTATAACACAAATTAATTAACAGTCAATGGCTCATGAAAGCACGCACGAGGAGGAGACTGACACGTAAATACAGATGGACGTGTATTTACCTTGAAGCTGGCGTCCGAACCGTTGCGGTGCTGCATAGCGAGGGAGGCAATGAGTTCGTGGTCATCCGGCACATTGGCGCTGACGCTGCCCCAGCTGCGTGACATGGACGAGGGTGGCCGGGTCAGCTGGCCAGTCGCCGAGCAGCCAACCTGAGCCGGAGGTGGCGGCGTTTGGGAGATCATTTGGCCCTGTTGTTGCGTCGCGGCGAGCATGTGATGCTGCTGCAAGTGGTGGTGGTGCTGGTACTGGTGGTGCAACGGCTGGGGCGGTGGGGGCGGCTGCACGAGCCTCGAACTGTGCAGGTGGTGGTCGTCGCAGCTCGCGGTGGGCATGGGCCCGCTGCAGTCGATGACGATGTCACCGGTGCTGCTGTTGATGCTGTTCACCGATGAGGCGGAGCCGAGCTCGCGGGAGCTTTGCCGTCGCGGTGGCGAGGGTGGCCGACGCTTCAGGTTGGGGCTGCTGTCGTGGCCGTACGTCAGCTGGTACTTGTTGTCGAAGTCTCGCGGCAGGGACTTGTACTGGCTGGTGGGCTGCGGTGCCGTCTGAATCTGCGGGAAGAAGGTCTGTACGTTACATGTAGATCTGTTTCTATATTCAACTGACGTTCGGATTGGCTCTGGATAGCAGCGCAGACCAGTTGAACGAGGAGGCTCGTTACCTTTACATCTTTGCTCATTAATTGTCCAGTCAATTTAATTGATTGATTCGCTAGAATCTGACATTTACCGACCTTTACAAAGATTTAATTTTTTACCCTTGCGATGAATATTTTTTTAATAAAAACATGAATGGGCAATAAAGGAGGAAATGACATCCTATAATGTGTTTACGCATCTGCTGGCTTTTAAACAACTATAATTGTCAGGAGACGAATCAAGAGTATCGGGAACGTATAGGTTGCAACAAAAACGCTGGAAGTTCAATCAATCGAGGGATATGTTTTAACGGTAGGCTAAAACCAGCGTTCGTAACGTCATCTGTATTACATTCACCAACTCCATTGAACTCCTAATGAAAGAAACCATGCTTCCTAATTGAAAGGCATTTTCTAGAAGTGGACTTGAGGAACAAATTTCTATTAACTCGGCACCGGATGGATTTTGATGTGCCTAGGCATCATTCTAGGCCGTAGGTATTGATGATTCAATAGCAAACAGTCTAAATGGTAATGTATGTTATTATTGAGCAGTGTGTAAAGGTACACCGAGCCCCCACGAGAGAGCAGCGAAGAGGACAAAGGGCCAACCTTAGTGACGGGCCTGGGTCTGACGAGGCAGTGCCGGGGCCTCGGCAAGGTGCCACCGCCAATGTTCTCGATGATGATGGCGTGGTCGTTCGTGGGCGTGAGGTCGCCATCGTCGTAGCTGCGCGGCCTCCAGTCGAGGATCGAGGGATACTGGGACTGGGGCGCCGGCGAGGGCGGATAACCCATGGGCACGTCCTCCAGGCTCTCGAGGGACTTGCCCCGCGAGTGCCCGGCCACCGAGGAGCCGGAGCGCGCGACGACGGTGCCGTAGTCGAGGCCCCCCGGCAACGCGGCGTACATGCTGCGCCAGCTTGCCCCCCCGAACTGCTGGACCGCGCTGTTGACGCTCGTGTTGCTGCTGCCGCCGCTGCTGTTGCACGCGCTGCTGTTGCTCGCGCTGCTGCTGCTGACGCACCCCGTGCTCGCGACGCCGCCCGTGTGCTGGGCCGCGCAGTCCGCGGGACGCTGGAACGATCGCAGAATCGGCGACGAGCAGTCCTCGTCGGGTGACGGGAGATCCGGCACTCCGCGCTGAATCACCACCTCCTGTCGGGGAACAGTTATTGGTACATTTACGCACTCGATGGGGGTGACAGACAAGGTGATGAAGTACATACCTGCGTGTGTCCAGGGTGGGGGGGCAGTTTGGTCAGGTCGAGCGGCTGGATGCGTTTGCCCGCTTTGATGTCCTTGATCCTCTTGATGGCGAGGAGGAGCTTCTTCTGGTGGCCCAGCCGCACGATGCCGATGTCCTCGAGGTCCTCCCAGGTGAGGGTCGTGACGTCGTCGACCGAGCGCATGCCCTGCTGGTGCAGTGGGCCGAGGTACTCCTCGAGCCTGAGCAGCCTGAGCCACTCCTCGAGGGAGCCGGGTATGTGCTCGGGCAGGCCGTCGCCCACGTTCAGGTTGTCGATCTCGGCCTTCAGCTGTTTCCTGTGGTTTGGCTTTTTTATGCCTGGGCAAACAAAACGTCATTGCGTCCATTAGTGTACGTACGAGTACTGCCATGTTCCAGAGATAGAGGCAGGTTATCGCCCTTCCGAGAAATCAAGCGATCGAATGACGGATGTGAATCATCGGTTTCTGGTGGTATGCACTATGCCGGCCCAAAGTAAAGTTTGGAGATAGCCGCACGACAGGGGGGAGGGCAGATTTTGCGACAAACCGAAGCCGACAGTCGGCAAATACGGAGGAGGGGAGAGGAAAAGATGACGAGGAGAGTTGGAATTCTTCCTCCGGAGGTGGAGTTAAGAGCTCTGGTGCCGTGCCAAAATAAATTGAGGAGGGGGGGGTCTGATCGTGTACGAGCGTGTTTGCTTTTTTTTTTTTTATTTAATTGACAGGAGATTTACATTTTCGAAGACTCTGTTTGGCTCCTTTTCACATTTTTTGCCTTTCGAATAATCACAGATTGTTGTCATTCAAACGAAGCTCGTTATTTCAAATGTCAAGGGCACATTTTGGAATTTGTGCATACCTAGAAAACGTTTTAGAGCAACATAAGCAAGAACTCAATGAATAGCTTCAGGTCGACGTGTAACATTTAATATGACAAGCGCGAAAAGTTTTGTGATTAACTTATGCGTTTGAAATACATGTACACTTGCTATTACTATGAAAATAATTGATCGATTATTTATTTGATTATTAGAGCTCGCTAACACAATTTCAACCGCCTGCTTTGAACGTGATGTTTGAATACATTTTGATCAATAGTGCGAAAACCCACAACGAAATCACCAATTAAGAAATATAATCGTTTTATAGACTTTTCTCAAATAAAATAGAACCAGTTTCGCGGACAAGCTTGGATTTTCAAGTAGACAAACATCAATGTTCAAGGATCACCTTCTTGACTGTTGACAATGTTTAAAAAAAAAAAGTCGAATGTACATCAAAGCGAACGCTCAAAAAGAAGTTTGTAGATTTTTTTTCAAGGTCTGTGTTGGACAGGCTCTCAGCAGATTCATCATTGCCAAATATTTGACCACTTCAAGTCCAAACGATTTACGTGAAACCACCTGTTGTGGTCAAACACTTTTTTCAAATTCAATTTTACGCTACTCGTCTCCAGACTCGATTTGAAGAAAGAAAAGAGAGCGTCTTCTCGGAAGAGCATCACGTGGAAAACACTCGAAGAACTGTAGTTAACCAACACCCATTGGGTAATACCCATATTGCATTAAAATCTCGCTGACATAACGCGAGTACTTATAATACTAGAAAAGTAGCGCCGAGGAGAAGTAGTTCATGCGATGGGCACTTGTAATGCCAGCTTACCAATGGCTGTGAGGTCCTCGGGAGTCATGCGGGTGATGGTGGCGAGATCGTAGCCGGCCGAGGCGAAGAGCGTAAAGTACTCCTCGAACTGGAGCTCGGTGAGCCAAGCGTGGACGAGGTCGAGGTCGGTCGGCCGGTCCGGGTGGCTGCCCAGCGAGCTGATCGAGCAACGGGGCGACGAGGTCAGTGCCCCGGCGCTCCGAGGACCACCCAGGTGGTAGCCCGAGGCTCGGCCCGAGTCGAGGGAGGCCGTCGAGTGCCGCGACCCCGAGCCCGAACCCGAGCTACCTGGGCTGTCGCGACCTGGGCTCTGGGTCATGTCGATTCCTGCGGTTGCAAGGGAGATGGTTGAGACGTATACTTACTTTTCCTCGCTTTTATCGCAAGGGTTTACACTATGAATTGATCGAGTGTATATGAATCTCAAGTGCGTGGTCGAGGCCAAGTCTGCACTTCAAACTTGCCTCGTGGCGCTTCCTTGACGATTTTATGGAGTGACATTCACTATTTTTCGAAAATATTGTTTGCATAGGCTTCTGTCGGTTGACAGTGATGTGAGATTCAATGAAAAAAATATATACATTTCGATCGTATGAATGGTTGACTTGCTTGAAATGCGCTATTGGGAATCTAAAAAGCTATCGATTACTTTTGTATTTGAGTTTCGTGAGATTTACTCAAACATAAATTACAAAAAAGGGCATTGATTTCATTGAATTCGACTATTACTGAACATCTCGGTAAAAAACTTGTTTCTTGTATTCCAACTCTTTTTTTCTTTTCAAAAGACGCTGTTACGTCAGTTATATTATTTAACAAGTTCCAAGCAAATGTTTCTGATCAAAGAACCGTTTGTCTCCAGAACTTTTTTAATTTGTTTCCTTAAGCACTGAGGATACAACACACCGTGTCCTAATTAGCAAATTCTAAATGCTTGAAATTATTTATCACATTAAAACACCCAATGCAATTATAAAATAAAAGTATAGCAATCATTACAACCACTGAACACAGTTATATGACCGTCAGTCGCATAGCTACAGTTTTTATTTATTACGAAACAATCTTACGAGCTCCAAAGTCGTGGGTTACGAATTAAGACACGGTGTGTGTAAAACTGTAAGGTAAATGTCCCTATTATGACCACAAATTTCATCATACTTGCATCTTTAATTTTTTTTTTCTCAGTTGTGAGTTTTAATGGTAGAAATTTTTTGATCAAGTAAGATGCATAACAAATACATGAATTTTCATATTCCATGAATAGGGACATATTCCACGAGTAGGGACATTTACCTAATCCTGCAATTTTGGCCCACGAGTTGGTATCCCTAAATGTACACGCATCAGCAGCAAAAATGAGACTAGTCGTAATAATCCATACCTTGATCCTCAGCGTGGGCGTACTTGTTGACCATCGAGGGGAATGTAAACCCAGGATGGGTGAACATGGGCCCCGGACTCTTGCCCGCGGGCATCCCGTAGTTTGCGTCGTCGACTTGGTTCGGCCCGGTACCACCGGCGTGACCCGGCATACCGCCCACCGGCTGATTGGCCATACCTGGATTCGGAGCACCGTTGGGGTTGCTCCCCGGGGGCAGGAACCCGTCCTCGCTGCTGGCGTAACCCGCCGAGCCGAAGGACGAGCCCGAGTGCCGGAAATCGTTCGGCACCGCCGGTGGCGCCACCTTCTTAACCTGCGTCACTGCTTTCGACGGCCGACTCATGCCGCCCACTGAAACAATCCCCCACCACCTGTTAGTTCAACCTCATTCATTTGTCATACAATTATTGAATACATCTATAAATACACATATAGTTACGATACATGGTTTTAGCATTGGTTGTACAACAAATAAGTTTTTCCTTCTGGGGTGAAATTTTAAATGGGTAGTCGACTTCCGAAACTCTGCTCGTTCATACAAAAATAGTATTGGGTTGACTCATACAACTCACCGCGGGAGAAACGCAAGGGTACGGCACACATACGGCTAGGGCCTATACGCTAACACACACTCTTGCATCATCGTACATCAGCCAAAGTGAATAATGAAATATTCAGGCATTCCTGGGCGCAGAATAATTCGCGATGCTTTACGATCGAGGTGTTTTGAAACTACAATAGCCGCGTATTTTACATGGAAGCGAGGCTCGGAAACTTCGGTACAATCGTTTGGCCGATTGAACCCTCGCAGAAAGATGCAAAGTGTTTAAGGGACGAAAAACTCGGGTAAGCGTTTGAGTATAACTGCACGGCTGGAAACTGATTCACTGCGCATTCCTGTCCGCGCGCTGACGCACCGGAATGTGCCTCCCCAGCTCTATATCATCGGCGAAACGGCGTTTTCCACAAAACAACCTTAATGGACTTTGAATGTATGTGTACCGAAATAACACTGCGGACAGGAGCTTTGAAGGACGAAAAAACGAAGTATCGAAAAAAAAAAAAAGAAAAACTCATCCGCGCATATTGCGAAGAGCAAATTGATTTCTCCGGAGCCGATACGGAGAAGGGAGCGTTGTACCACACGTGTTTCATCAACGCAACACACATTCTCACAAATGTAATGTAATTCCTGTATGCTCTCGTCTTGGATAGCTCGCATGAATGATGACTCGCGTGGAAATTCAATTTCGAAGGTTGGCTAGCACATGCATTATTTATAATATACGCCGAGACCCTTTTTACCCTTTGCATCGGTTATGAGACCACTCGGTTGTTTTTTTCGGTTATATCCGTACATAAGTGGGGAAAGAAAGTATACCAGAAAGTCCTTAGGGAAGGAAAGAAATGTGAAAATAAAGGCAACCGGGGCTCCGTAATGAAGAGGCGAAGAACCGTGTGTATACCCGACAACGCGAGCAAATTGCCGGTGTCTCTCGAAAAAGAAGCAACAAAATTATCACGCGCCCGCGCGGGAGAAAGGAGAGCGCGTTACACACACACGGGAAGAAAGTTTGCAGACGTTGCTCGCGTCTTCGGCCTCCTTCTCCTCCTCCTACTCATCCTCGACACTCGATAAATCAGCGATCGTGCATTTATATACACGAGCACCGCTCACGGAGAACCCGAGGAGGAGAAAAAGGAGAGAGAGACGAGGCCGAGCCAATAACGCTGATTGCGCGTTGCCTTTTCCGTGTCTGTACGGGTGTATTATATCGAGCACACGTACGAGCATTATTATAAATCGCTTCGTGATATCTCCCCCCCCCCTTTTTTTTCTTTTACCCCGGCAAAAAAAAAAAAAAAAAGGGAAAAGAGAGTCGTGTGTCCCCGGGAACGTGGGACGCGGAGCTGGATTATTTATTGGAAATCGCTGCACGTACACATATACCTACGCGCGATCGAAGAACTATTGCTCTTTCACCGGTTTCTCGGGCGCGTATACCTGCGGCGATCGTTCTCGTGTTGGGGATCGAGTGGCGCGTCCATTGTTTTCGCATCACGAATAATCTTACACTTTTCACGACCCATTGCTGGTAACAACTAAACTAGCAGCTCTTCCAACAAATATATACATGTAACGAGAGGGTTATTGGGCGGAATGATATCCTGATCGTCAAGTCCCCGCTGGGTGTTGTTACGAAACTAAATTACGTGAGCTAAATTAACGTGTTAACGATGCTCGCACTCTGCAAACGCAATCGTATATATAATATGTGAGCAACAAAATATAGTGAACGTTTTCAGCGCAACAAAGGGAGGCTCGTGATTGGAAAGTAAGCCCGGGGCTTTTGAAAATCCGTGGCAGCGTGTGGCTCGGACAAAGGGTCGCAGAATTTTGACTGAAATGAGAATAAAAACCAAAAGACCCACAGTCGAAAGGTCGGGAAAACGAGAGAGCTTCGAGCAGAGGGAGGAGACGAAGGAGTTTCGAAGAGGAGAGGAAACAGGTTCTTCGCAACCTCCGCTTATGCGTGCACGCATACATACGAGAGTGCGCTCGTCTAAATTTAAAAGCTAACCAGTTCTCCTCCTCCTTCTTGCTTCGAAAAGAGAGGAGAGCCACCTTTTTTTTCTTGTTTCGTCGGCCCTTGAAGGCCGCTGCACTTCCGTGCGCGAGGGAGAGCGATAGCTTTTTCCTGTGCACACGCCTAGGCTCGTTTATTTTCTCATTGGAAGAACAATGGGGAATCTCTCGATGCTCTTTTTTCCTTCCAGTGCCTTTACATTGTGTGGGCTTTTTTCGAAACATACTGGAAAAATTTTAATTGCGCGTATGGTGGTTTAACAAATGTCTTCTGAACTGTGTTTTACTTATTTGTAAACTCGATGTGAGAGAAGAACGAACATGGCATAAAATAGTCCCTCAAACGTGTGCGTGGACGCAGTTTTTACAGTAACGAACAAAAATATTTGTAATCCAACTACAATGAGTTCATTTACGAGGACAAAGGTACAGAGGTAAGACAACAGAAACGGTACCGCAGATACTACAAAAGCTGCACAAAAAAAAATAAACATGGGATTTTAAATCAAGCAAAAGCAGATTATGTAGGAAAAAATGTCAAATACACAAAATGAAAGAGAGAGTAGAGACGCAAAGATAATTTAATAGATCTAGGAAAGAAGCGTGTAAGCTATGACAGAGATATCTCACGAAAAAACAAAAAACCAGCATTCATCAATACAGATACTCATCGTTATAAAGACACAAAAAAAGAAAAAATCGTAAAAATATAGTAAAAAATAAAAACTGATGAAAGAGACCGAGCAGCCATGGCATGGCTAAGCGAATGCCATTGTTCCTAATTACAAGTTTGGGGATTGTCGCATAAAACGCACAGAAGGAGAGGAAAAATCTCCCCTAGTTTATACAATATGACTGCCAGAGATTACACGCAGCAAAATTGGTAGGCACCATTGGAAAAAACCTGCACGCAATTTCATTTGTTTTCTACACAGCCGATACTTCCACATTAAGTCCAATACAAACGCGAAATCAATGCCGATTTCATTTCATTCACGAAAGCCGCACTCGTACGCTACCCACGAAACACACATGGCGGGATTCCTGGAGAATAGCACTATTAATACCACCTGAAACACAGCCGCGCGCAATACACCAATGGCACGCGCATTCCAAATCTCGTGTACCTATACATAGAGGTATACACGTGCACGCTCGTACACCCCAATATACACACACATGGATGTATATCGCGACCGTAAATATAGTTCCCTCCCTCTCACGTATATACGCAGCTGCACTCGGACGGCAATTCGTAATGGCCAGTCATAAACGTCACTTACAAATTGCACGACCACTGCGTGGAGGGGACCAAGGGAGGGAAAAAAAAAGGATTCTCGGCCAGACTCATGTACGTATACAAATTTTCACGCCACCGATGACAGCTCGCATGAGGGAGTTATAAATGTAGACCGCGACGTGCGTGGAGTACCCGAGAGCTTCCGGTCGGCTTATTTGTTTAAACATTTTTTTTTTTTTTTTTTTTTTTTTGTGACATTTCGGGAGTAAGAGTAGTGGGTTTTGCTAGCATGTGTATGTATACACATCTTCGGGGACAAATCGAGTGCCCGCTGATGTCCTTCAGGCGACGGTAAATAGAAATTTCATGTGCTCAAAAGAGAGAGGGAGAGGAGTGTTGGATTTTTTGTTTCAACACGAGCTCTTCTTCTTAACGGAGGCACGCGTGTGTACAGTTCGATGCCTTGTGTTATCCTTACGATGGCTAATAATAAATCAAAAGGAAATGGAGAGCGGGAAAAGCGTGTACTGCGAGAAAAGAGGGGGGAAGGAGAGCTACGCTTCTTTTCACCCGCGTAAAGTAATTACGAAAAGTGTGTATGGAAGCGGCACAGGGATTGACGGTTTAAATCGATGTCTGGGCTGGTGAAGGTGGGAAATGTATGAGATGGGCTAGGTACCATAAAATGGGCTCGCATTTTAGGCGGAAGACCATGATTGGTTGTTCGATTTTTACGTCATGGGTGTGTTGAATTGAAAAAAAGCCGCTTGCAGTGGATGATTGATGATTGTGGGCAGGAAACGTGAAATTTCGTTGGTGAGCAATACTTTCCAGAATTAATGTTCAACAAAACTTGAAAACTTTACGTTTTTCATTAGAATATAAATATAAGGTTTTTACAAAGTTTTCTGACTCTCCTTTCATCACGACTTGAATTTACAAGGTAGAAAAGCCAACATAAATGTCAAAATCCATTTTAACGATGAGGAACTTACATTTTTGCAATGTTAAACTGCTCAGAGGACTATAAAAACAAAAGTTGAGAAAACAAAATCCGAACTATCTTGAGATTGGCGAGCGTTAAAGGTTTGAAATCCTCATTTGTACAATAAAAAGCGGAAAAAAGGTGAAACGCGGTGTCACAAAGACTGTAATGATGTATTCAACTAACTTAAAGGGTTGAGTCATGATCATGACACCTATACGAGTATGTTTCACACAACTGTTCGGTATGCTAAAAAATTGTATTTCATAATAATTGCCGGGAAAAAGGGGAAAGTAAACTCTATCAAAGATACACTCTGATCTATTTTTTAAACCAAATAACGAGATGTCACTGATTAAAATTGCACCATGAAACCTCGGGGAAGCCCATATTAAGAGGACGTCAAGGTGAAAACAACGTGCCATCGCAAAACACGGCTGAGCGGCTCTTGAAAATTTGCATTGCATAAAAAGCCATGATGCACTCACAACGCGCGGGCATCGCGAAAGTATTGAAACAGTTTAACGTCTCGCAGCGAC